TTTAATTTTCTGTGAAGGATTTCTTAATTTATAGAAGCGTGGTGTACTTTAAAACAAACAGCAAAGAAATTGCTCCTCTTTCTAGAAGATTTACTGGTGCTATCGTAAATGGTGTTTAAGCTATTCATCTTTTTCAATTTGTTTTTAAGATTTAAAAAATGTCACTTTTAAATCTATTAAGACGCCAATGCTTAGTAAACTTGTTGGACTAGTTTTTAAAAGGGCTGCATTAAAATCTAGAGTTAAATAAATTGACGGGTCTCAACTAAAAGTTTTATTTTGTGATTATCGTCTTTGTCAAAAAAACTAGAAGTAATTGTACCTGGTGTTTGCACGTTTAGGATTAAAAATTATATTAGTGTCTCAAACACTAATATAATTTTTAATCCTTCCGATGCTACTAATTTGAAGAGCTTTTAAAGGGATAACCCATTTTTCATTTAATGACAATATCTACTTTAATTGCTAAAGTTAGTTTATTCTTCTGCATTCGAGTCCCTCTAACTCGTTTAGATGATTTCACCCAGAATCTAATTGTCTAACAGTTAATTTATGCTCTAAGTTTGAACTGTAAATTTTTGTTGATAATGCTAATTTCATTTTTTTCTTTTGGCTATAAAATAAATATTTCTGCAGAAATAAAAATGTTATTACAATATACTATGCAACAACAGAACTCCGTAAAAGATAATTTTTAGCAACTGTGGCATTTCTTTCCGATGTTAATTATGATATAACAGGTTAGTATGTCTAGCTAACACATGGAAGGTCTATGATGCGAATTCGGCTGGTTTCACTGTTAATTGTTTACGTTTCCTGCTTCAAAAAATGCCTAATGGTTTCTAGAGAGACGCACGAATGAAATGTGGTGAGAGATACACTGCTCGACATTGAAAATGCAACACCAAGAAGGAATGGTCAGAAAGTGATGAAATTTGAAAAAAAAAAAAAAAATACAGAGACAGCAAGAAGCAATAAGTGATCTTTATTTCAAAATGATAGTCAGAATACAGAGCGAGAACGGCGTCGGTTCAGTAGGATGTAGGACCACCGCGGACAGCGATGCACGAAGAAACACGCCTAGGCATAGAGAATAAGAGTGCGGATGGTGTTCTGAGAGATGGCTCTCCATTCCCTTTCAACAATTTGCCACAGTTCGTCTTCTGAACGAGGCAGGGGCAGAGTCTGCAAACGGCGTCCAATCACATCCCATATATGTTCAATTGGTGACAGATCAGGAGAGTACGGTGGCCATGGAAGCACTGGTATACCTTGCGGAGCATGTTGGCAGATGCGAGCACTGTGTGGTCGGGCGTTATCCTGCTAAAAAATTGCATTAGGCAGCCCCTGAAGGTAGGGGATTGCCGCCGGCCGCAGTACATTATCCAAGCCAAGTATCGTTGGGCCGTCATAGTGCCCTGAATACAAACTAGAGATGACTTGGATTCGTAGGCAATAGCGCTTCAAACCATTATGCCACGTTGTCGCGCGGTGGGGCGTTCCACACTTACTGCCGGATTAGATTTGTCTCCACGTCGACGCCACACACGTATGCAACGACTGTCACTGGATAAACAGAAGCGTGACTCATCTGAGAACACGACGTTTCGCCATTCTCTCATCCACATCGCTCCAGTTCGGCACCATTCTAAACGTTGGCGTCTATGCTGTGGGGTCAATGGCAGTCTTCTTAACGGACGCCGTGAGTGCAGGCCACGTTCAACTAATCGGCGGGAAATAGTTCTGGTCGACACGGGAACATCCAGGGTATCTTGCACATGCTGCAGACCGCGGTACAAGTGACTTGCGGGACCGCCACAGCTTCTCGGCGGATGCGTCGATCCACGCGTGGTGACGTCACTCTGACCGCATCTGCACCCTTCCTTCTTCCCACATTTCCTTGTTCCAACCATGTTCGCCATAGCTGATGCACTGTGCTCACATCCATGTGGATATCAGCTGCGATTTGACGTAAGGACCAACCCGTCCTTCTCAGTCCGATCACCATACTCCTCGTAAAATCGTCTATCTGCTGGAAGTGCCTTCGTTGACGGCGGCCTAGCCATTCTCTCCTATTACAAGTATCCTCCGGGACTAAAACCAACTTTTTTCGATAATTCGTCTGACAGAAATAACGACTATAATATTGTCCATTCTTTACGTTCCTTCCCTTATATCTTACTTCACGTGCGGCCGGAGAGCTACGCATGTAACATCATTCGCATAACTCAGTGACGGGCGCCTACTCTAAAATTTCCGACCACTTCTTCTTGGTATTGCATTTTCAATGTCGAGCAGTGTAATTGATGGTCACCAAGATTTTGTCTACTTGGTCTCATGCCTCTCCCCAGCCGCCCTTAATAGGATAAAATATAAGGCTTTGTTTCATTATCCCACATGCACTGTTATAGTGTAAGTGATTAGCACGTCCAGCTAACAACCGAAGTTCCGTGATTTATATCCTGCCAAGGTCACATTTACTATTTTAATCTTTCTAATACTTTCTTCAAATCTCTAATTCATTTTAGAAATTTAAAGAGAAAATCTACGTTGCATGACAATTTATAAAAGTATAACTATCAATTAAATGCATTTTAAATGATTTTAAACGCATTCCTTTCTACTATTGCATAATAAAATTGACTTTCTATTCTTGCATCTAGTCAAAAGTCTCGTAGATCTCTGTCTTTTTTCGTCAATTCTTACCATTCTTAACTTTTATGCACAATTTGCCTGTAACTACCTGCCCCACACTTTATAACATGATTATTTCTCTGCATGTCTCAGTGAATGCATTTTAGTTCACTTTATAACTAGAACATTATTCTGTATTTTACGCAATGACAGATAACTCTGATTTAATTGTGAAAATAGATAAGAATCGGATGTTGCACTAGAAAAGCGACATGGAAAAGCCCTATTTAGTTGTTGAGAATGCTAGATAGAATATTTATATATACGACTGAACTTAATTTGAAAACTTCATTGATATTAAGGCTAACTGATTGTAGAAATTTACAGATATTTAAATATAACATTAAAAGAAAAGAGATAATCATGGCTTCAGTAAACATTCATAACTCTTGCTTCTGATTTTCGTATTTGCGTTTACATCTTTCATAGCTTAATAATAATTGACATTCATGCAAATATAACTCCCTGCATGTTAACATACGCACGCAGTTATTAAATGCATTTTAAATAAAGTATGGTCAATATTCTGAACTTCTGAAAATATTACATACATCGGGTAATAGTTTTCTGTTTAAATAAATTTTATACCGGTTTCTGAGTGTTTATTAATAAATAAATAAATAATATATTCAGTTTCATAAAATTGTTTATTTTAGCTCTCAGTAATAATTTTTTTTCTAAATTATATTTTAAGGCAAATTTTGCCGTCTTCTTGAAAAAGTAATATTTGCCTTGAATCTGTAGTGTATATAATAAAATTGAAATTTAATAATGACTATGTAGGGTCTGACTATGTAGAAATTTTCGAAGTCATGAAACTGAAAAAACCGCAGTGCCGTCATCGGGATTCGAACCAAGGTCCTCCCGAATACGCGTCAAGCGTACTTCCAGTTATACCATGAAAGCATGTGGAACATTATAAACATTTTCTCTTATTACCGTTTATAGTAAAAGTTATTAAGAAGTACTGATGGGTCCACCAGGGCCAAGCGGCCGTAAAGTCGCTTAAGTTTGTACCTGGGTTCGATTGCAGGCGAACGGGCTGACTGCAAGGACGATTTCGTGGTTTTCTCCATATGTAACGCATATACGAGCTAGTTTCCCTTATAAAGCTCTCCACCAAAGCATCCCTTAGCAGACAACCCCCACCTACTTTTCCATACTTCAATAAACCAAACTTAAGAAATGCTATAAAATATATTTAATGCTTCGCAATAACATCCTTTACAAGTGGAGTAAAATCATAATCTGACCCACCAGCGGCCGAGCGGTAAAGACGCTGAACACTGGTAGTTCGGTCTGAGGTTCGAATCCCGCGAACGGGCTGGCTGCATGGGCGTTTTCGTGGTTTTCATCATGTGTAACGTATATACGAGCCAGTTTTCCTTAGAAAGTCCTCCACGAAAGGCATCCCTCCCTTTAGGCAGATAGCCCTCGTGTGCTTTGCCATAATTAAATACACCACCACACCAAAATCATAATCTGACCCACCAGCGGCTGAGTGGTAACGTTGAACACTCGTAGTTCGGTCCGAGGTTCGAATCCCTTCGTGGTTTTCCCCATGTGTAACGTGTAACAGTTTCCCTTAAAAAGTCCTCCACGAAGGCATCCTTCCGTTAAGGCAGAAAGCCCTCGAGTGCTTTACCGTAATCTAATAAACCAAACCAAACCAAAATCATAATGTTTAGAAACGAAGTGGTTCATAATCATAATAACAGTGTAAAACATAATACATACGCTATAATTAATGATTAATTATCTATATAGCTTATTTTTCCTTTGCAAATTGAATATAATCTTTACAATTTAATTTCTTTTCTCAAATTGTAAAATAAAATATTTACAAGTTTAAATTTTCTAATCGGATGAGCAATATGCTGTTGTATTAATTGTAGTTACACTAATACATCCTATAGTATAACACAGAGCTTAAATTGAGCCGGAGCCCACCGGAGCCAGGCTCCGGTATTCTTAGTTTTTGGTATAAATCATAATTCTATTCGGAGCACACCTAAATAATAAGGCTCCAGCACATATAACTGAACAACAATTTGAATAAAAATTTATATTTTGCAATAAAATTATATTAAAAATCGCTTATTAAATTTGCTTTATCTCTTTACATTTTATTTAATTTAATTGTTCTTTAATATAATTTTTTAATTAAATAATAATAATTATTAATTAAATAATAACTGATCCATATTAATTGGTAATATTAACTATTTAATTTAATTTGGTAATAATTAACTATTTAATTTAAAAATTATTAATGATTTTAATAGTCATTTTATTTATTCGTTTACCTTTGTTCCTCTTTGCTGACGGTCTTCTGTTGGGCTCCAGCATTTCTAATTTTAGAAATTAAGCTCTGGTGTAACAGTAATTAAATTATTAATTACATTTACGCTTAATGATCGGTATGCTTACACACTTTGTTAGGTTGACTTAAGGGAATTTTGAAATTGAAAACTCTGAACCTACGTAAGAGACCTGGAACTAGTTCCTAACATCTGCTACGAGTAACGTAATGATTAAAAATCTGTCAGCAAAAGTAGAACAACATTCTATCAGTACCAGCAACAACTGCCAGCAAAGAATAACAACTGTCAGCAAAGTAGGGAATAAACAGATTTAAAAACTTTTAACAACGCAACCTGAAAACCCTTTCCTATGTAAGGATCTGAAAATAAAATAATAAAGCAGAAAATTTTTGTCTTTATTTAAGAAAACTGCCGCCGCTTAAAGGAAGAAGTTCTAATATTAGCGTTTAATTTTGCATGTAATGAACGAGGAAAAAGGTTCAAGGATTTGGCCTCTAAAATAGAATGTGACGGAGCACGGATGCTTACTAAAAGTAACCTCCTTTCTGCAAAAATATACAATGCAATAATAAACGTCTCTGTCGACCACACACGGTTTGAGGCATCTCAAACGTTTATGACAGTAATTAACAAAATGCATACGCGTAAATTTTTCAGTGACAAATTCCTAAGCGCCGCTTTCAAAATCTATCTGAAGCAAAATAACTTCGAGTGATGGATAAATACAGGTCTTTCAACTAAGTTTTTTGAATACAACAGCACAATTGTTCAAATGTTTAACAAAAATAAATTAATCACTGAATTTTTTTTTATTCCGTATTCCCGAAATCATGTGCTGCATGCACGTGAAGATAGCTAACATTATAAACAGATCTGTACAAGAACTCCAGATATCAGTATTCCTGAGAGGTATCTCGAGCTCCAAACGCGAATCTCTTTTTACTTCCTTGTACAAAGTAAAGGAAGTACTGTAACTGCGAAAATTTTCGGGCGTCATATTTCAACGAAAATACCCATTTTTATCTCTATCGAATGCAATTTAACGATGTTTTTGCTTGACATCTATACGTAAGGACAGAATAAAGGACTCTTTATCCATAAATGGCTTGTATAAAGGATTTAAAATGAGATTTATTTCGTGACATCTGTGCGTATATATGTACGCCCATCTATACGTACACAGATGTATACGTATGTGAGCACAGATACGTATACGTGCGTACATACGTTATCTACAAACGTATGTAACTATGTATCTCGCACAACTCAGAAAACGAGTAGCCTCAGAAAGTTGTGTGTGTGTGTGTGTATGTGTGATTATGGCAAAGCCTCGAGGGCTATCTGCCTAAGGAAAGGGATGCCTTCGTGGAGGACCTTCTAAGGTAAACTGGCTCGTATACACGTTACACATGGGGAAAACCACGAAAACGCCCATGCAGCCAGCCCGTTCGCGGGATTCGAACCTCGGACCGAACTACCAGTGTTCAGCGACTTTACCGCTCGGCCGCGAAAAATTACTAAAAAGAAATTTAAACAACTTAAACAAGTGGAATTTTGAGAAATTAGCAAGTAAATACTAGAATTAAAATAAAAGTCAATAAAGTGGAAAACCGAATTTTTTAGAAAACCAAAGTAATCAAATACAAATATAGTTGGTAAGTTAAATTAGGACTTACTATTTACTTGCCTTTTTAGTATTATTTATGCATTTTTATAAATAGTATTCAGTTTCTTTTTGATTTTTATGCATAATTCGTGTCGGGGAAGTTTTTTTGTAGGCAAAAGTTTCTAAATTACTTAGGTTTTCTAAAAAAATCGGTTTTTTTTCTACTTTATTGACTTTTTTTTATTTTAATATATAATAATAATAATTTATATATATACCTTATTGCTCGACTCCGTGAGTTCAATTATTTTTATTCTTATATATATATTTTTTATTTTTATATTTTAAATGATGAATTATGTTGTTCTTATCTTCCAGTTAAGTTTTTATGTCTTTAATTAATTTGAATGCTACAGTTGTAAAATTATCAACCATTTAAAAGTTTTTTAAGTGCAGCTAAGTGTAATTTTTCCCCATAGCAGCCATGTTTGCTTACATTTGAAATTTAGCAGAGCAGTGAATTAAGTCAGTTTCTGCACCCTCAGTGTCTTTTGGCCGAAAGGGACCAAAAGTAAACTTTCAGTTTTGAGCACCGAAAAACCTGTCTTCTTGGCCGCTGGCCGAATCGTGTATTTGCGTAGAAACTCTAATTTTAATCATAAAAATTGTTTCTTGATTGTTTTAGCTGCATTTGGTGTTTTATGTTTTTCTATATTCTTCAATTTTTAATACATATATTTTGAGGTTTTATGTATTTTTGCCTTCCCTGAAGTGAGAACTGAAGTAATGGAAAGAGAAATATATCTCTAATGAAATTCGAGGAAATACGTTTAAATGAAATACACCAGAAAATGCGTATATTTTAATATTCTGTACAAGGAAGTAATATGGTGTCATCATCAGATTTTTTTCTTTATTTTATATGTCCAATCATATTGCTCTTGCTGCCAAATCACATACGTCTTATTTTATCTCATCACTGATTTATATGATATATTAAAAACATTATGCGTTGCATGCATATTAGTAAAACAACTAAAATGAATTAATTTTAACCTTTTGCGGGCAACTGCCATGAACAGGCGGCGGATGTGAACTCATTGAAAAAAAAATAGTTGTTATGTACGGAAGTTTCTACGAAGAATGTTTGCATGCCAATAATAATCAGCGTTCTTCGTTAGCTGCATCTGATGTAAGACATTTTTTCATTTCTTGATTTTTCGAATATGAGCTATTTATTTAATTTTATTTGCGTTTTATTATTTTACTCCTGCTTTTTTATTTTGAGTGAGAAGCAGGAACATATGTTTCTAAAATATAAACAACACCTCTTCCCAACTCTACATGTCTCTGAAGTGTAGACCACCCCTCTGGTTGTTACTCCTAAGCACGTTCTTTTAAACTTCATGGTCTTTTGTTTAGTTTTGTTTTTGAGGATACACTTTTTCGTCTGGCCTGTAGAAGGAACAAGAATAGATAAATTAGGATTGAAAGTAAGAACTAAAAATATCTACGTTGTTTTGTTCCAAGAAGAAATTTAGCTTTTACTGCAACCGTTAAAAAATAATAATAAGTATAATTAGGTAGTGAAATTTCCTGAAGCTTATACCTAATTAAAAGAAGAAACCGATTTTAAACTTCAGATTCAGTATCTGAAGCATATATTTATGAAGTCTTAAAGGATCTCTCTCGTCATCCTTGACCTGGAGCTACAGAATTAAAGTTTGACATTAGATTTTGCGTGTTATACTGCAAAATACACCCTGTAATCCATAAAATATTTCGTTCTTAAAGCTTAGGGATTATTTCTCAAAACAAATTCTGTATTAATATTGGAAAGTGAAATATTTAATTAACAAATCCTCTCATGCGATGTCGTTAACAAATCCTCTCATGCGATGTCGTTAACAAATCCTCTCATGTGACGTTAAAAATTAAAGCTCTGAATTCTTTAAGATTTTTTTATTTCTCCCCCCACATTTCTTTTAAACAAAACTGGCTTTTAGCTTCAAATAATATTCGAATCTTTTGTGATATTTATACAAAAGTTTTAATTCTGAAGCATATAGTTTTAATTCTGAAGCATATAGTTTTAACTTCCAGCTCAATACATGATTGTGGGAAGTTTGTACGTTACATCAAATAAATTAGCTTAGTAAAATTATCTTTTCTGAGCTGACAAAACTACCAGAAAGTGCGACTGTTTAAATACCTATGGCTTCGAAAGGAAGAGTCTGAAGAGATGAAAAGGTGATATTTTATTTTCTTGCGCAATAACACCTTTTTCCATAAGCAAGAAATATACACGAATTTAAATGCAAATTTCAACAGTTTGATTAGTTAGAAAACGTTTTAAAAATGTATCAAAGCTGAAATCGAATTTCATTCTAATAAATTTGTGATTATTACTGCGATTATTGAAGTTCAAATTAGCATTTGCTCGTAAGAAATATAATTGCTTGAAAATCTTCAAAAAAATTATTTTACTTTCTTACATTGTCTGGGGGGAAAAGGGTATGACAGATAGCAGTAAGAAAAAGCATGCATATCATCAAGCTAGACATACTCAGGTGTTTCAATATTTTTCAAACCTAAGAATGTGATTTATAAATAAACAGTCCCTCACGTTGCGTGACGATCTTAAAAAAACTACTTTTCATCGCTGTAATTATTTCTTGTAAAAGTGATTTATGTTTCGTGTAGAGTAATACTCGCCTGATAAATTATCTCTATATATGTCTCCGTCGGATGTAAAAAAAGCGTAGACAAATAATCCTTGCCTTTGTACAAAAAGTTAAAAATATGGCGACTTTTACATCAATTAAAAGAATTATAAATAGAACAAGGTTTTTTTGTACGTTGGTAAGAGAACCCATCACCTATATTTAGATTATCCTAATACCCGTGTCTGAATATCTTGCATTTTATACATATAACAAAACTGGAAATATCTGCACTAATTTCAGTCCTAAATCCTCAGAATACATGAAAAACCTTTAGACCTTTTTTTTTATGTTCGTCTAGCGCAGGGATCTCCAACCTTGGTCTTAGGGAAAGCACATTCTAGAATACCGGTTAGGCAGTGGGCACATTTATCTTTTCAAGGTAAATTTATAGGTTGACATAGTGACTAATACACATGATATACAAAACGATAATTCCAAAATTATAAATAATTATAATTTTAAGATAAAAAATTAGTGATTGTATTCTTATGTAAAATAAATTACTAAATAATACACACAAAAATTTACAAATAATTTGGTTTACACTTCATTGGTATAAAAATTCTTTACAAGAAATGTAATTCCTAAAGTTAGTGTGATATTTGGCATCGCGATTGATTGGCCATTGCTTTATAATTTGGAGTGTATTCTGATATTCCTGCTCTTAAGTAATCATCAAGATATTCATCTGTAAGTCGAGATCTGTTCTTTGATTTTGTGAGTGATATTCCTTGAGAACATGATTCACACAGCAATGTGGAACCATAAAGCGGTTTTGCCTTGTATGATGCTCTTCTCAA